AAACTCAAGGAAAAGGGTAGACAGGTGTGACAAGTAGGACTAGTAATTGACTCCTTGATGACTAAGTACCTTTGGAGCCATCTATGTGTAAATACAATGAATTAATTAATTACAATTGATTAACCCAATTGGTGTGGATGGCAAGAATACAGGGTCATGCCCATTGTAATCTATTGTCTTTACACAGAGCTGGGTCTACAAATCAAGGAGTCAGTTATTAGTTTTACCAATCTCACCTGTTTATCCTTTTCCTTGATTTTTTTTAAAGCTTCATTTGGATTAATTTATTATTTTTTATGTTATTAATATTTTAATAATAATTCAATAATCATAATAAAAGTAGGAATAAAAACAATGTCAATATTAATAGTATAAGAGAGAAAAACACATTTTCCCACATATTCAAGGAATGTGGAAATCAAGCACAGTCACTAGGGTTTGAGAACATGTGGAGCCATCTGTATGTAACAAAATTCACGAAAGACTACAGGGGACAATACAAAAACCCATATTCATTAAGTTAAGTAAGATTAAATACAATTAATGAACTAAAGAGCACAGTGTGCATATATATTTTTTTTAATCCCAGCATCAATGGATTAAAGAAGTCCTAAAGGAGAGGCTTCCAAATTTACTAAGAGTGCAGAGGGTGGTGTTCTGGAGGCTCATGGGTATTTCAAATATACGTCTGGTATCATATCTGCATACTGACTAAAATTTAAATGCTTACCTACTTAATGTAGTAATCTTATGCTTTTAGAAAACAATGCCACTTACCTATATAACTTACTGGCTCCATTAACCAGTATGGGGTCAACAAGGAGTTTATAATTGCGTTTTGGTTGCTGGTGTGGTTGAGGAGGTCCATGTTTAGGTGGCCCTCCACGCTGAGGAGTGTGGTGTGGAGCTGGACGCTGATCCATACTATGTCTCCAGCCCCCTGCAATGCATGAACAGTTTTGTGAATTGGTTACACTCACTTGGAAACTTTCTGCTCTCTTCCTTATTCTTACTCTAAGAAATCAATATGAAGATTAACACTTACCGGGGATGATAACCATGTACACTTTACATTATACCTGTCAGTCAGAATATGAAAATGACTCAACCATTATTTTCTAATTCAATAATACATGTGAAAACATACAAGACAGTGGCCTTCAACTACAGGCACAGGTTCCATCTCTTCCTCCTCCAAATAGTAGTCTTAACCCTTTCCCGACAGGGAAAATGAATAAAAAATGGGGGAAATTCTGTGACCATTTTTTATATTTTTGTGAAATGTCCCTGTTACTAGATGGCTCTGCTAGTGCTTAGCCATAAAGGATTTCACCTTTCCTTGAACTGGTGCAAAAAACGTATTTTTACTTGTGCTATAAATATAGACGGTGTTATTTTTATTATAAACATTATAATTTCTAAAATGTTATAAACATTTGTAACAGCAAAATAAGATAACGTTAAATATTTTTGTAAATTGATGAAAAGGGTGAACGGGCAAGACAGGCGGTACTCGTACCTGGCTCCTTGGTGATTTAGTACAAGTGTAGCCATCTATGTGAAAAACAATTAAACAAGTAAACTAACGATGGGCATGGCATGTACGTACATGCCATGCCCGTCTGCAAGGGGTTAACCACATGCCACCAAGGAAAATGATAAATAATGGTGAAAATGCTGTGCTCATTTTAAATATTTTTGTGAAATGTCTTTGCACATAGACGGCTCGGCTAGTGCTTAGTCACAAAGGAGTCCTTGTGACCTTACCTAATTTCACCTTTCCTTGAATTGGTGGAAAAATGTATTTTTTTTTTTTTTTACTAATGCCATGAATATCGATGGTGTTATTTTTGTTATATACATTATAATTACGGTAATATTATAAAGATTGGTGACAGCAAAATATGATAACGTAAAATATTTTCTTAAATCAAGGAAATGGGTAAACGTGCCAGACAGGCAGTATTCGTAATTGGCTCTTTAGTGACTTAGTACAGGTTTAGCCATCTATGAGTAAAAACAATTGATTAAGTAAACTCTGGGTGGGCATGTCATGTATGTACATGCCATATCCATCAGCAATGGGTTAATGCACAAATTGGAGATTACTTCCCTTAGACATTATATGTATGCATGTATGTATGAATGTGTATGGATGGATGGATGTATATGTATATGTATATATAATTATATGCAAATATATATATATATATATATATATATATATATATATATATATATATATATATACACACATACACACACACATATATATATATATATATATAAAGAAAAAAAATACATATATATATATATACATATATATATAAATTATAATGTACAGTAAGTCCCCAACTTACGACCGAGAGGCTGTTCGTAATTCCATTTATTCGTATATCCAAAGTCTGGTCTCCATTGCCTTTTTTCCCATTGTTTTAAAGTTTTATTTACATTAAGAATACCTGTACATAAATCCCAATAAGTACAACATACCTTATAC